AAGAAAACAACTAATTATGGATGAATCAAAAGTATCAAAGTTCAAAACGACAAACGGCATGAATACTAGCCATTTGAGCCTTGTTATTTATTCCTAACGGAATGAAAATAAATTTATAGAAAGATAATTCAAATAATTACGTTGTAAAGATACTTCGCGACGATAATAATTTCCCATTTCCCAAAAGGGAACGTTTTCATTCTTGAGAAAAGAAGAAACCGGTAATATTCTCATACCGTATAAATCAAGGGTCATGGTGGAAATTTCTAGAAATTTGATTTCAATTGTTTTCGTTTAGTACTGGATTGATGAATTTCTACAGTGGAACCCATCCAGTTATGAAGGAGCGACAGAAATTTTTCTTGCTTCATCGGACATATGGATTCCGGAATTCTCGCTCTATTACAGGTAAGGTCTAATTTACAAAAAAAAATTGTAAAAAATGAAGCTCATTCAGAGAGGTGCAGTATCCAAACAGTGAAAAATGTCTTCAATACAATACAACACATTTTTCCGTGTAATTAAAAAGATTTAAGCTATTGTAAGATCATATAACGTTACCATTACTGGTATCTGGAGAAACAACGGTCGAGCAGGTACGGCTATTTGAGGAGCAAGGGTGACGGTAGGGTGGAAACCGAGGACCTCGAAGAAATCCGTCATGGGCAACCTATTGATGTCGAGGAAAGACATCTTCATGGGTACGCATAGCCTTATCGGGACTGCTTCGGATGGCACCAGCATTTCCATCTGGCCATCTGGGTTCAACTGAGAATGTACCTCAGTTGAACGTTGAATGAAGGTGAAGGAAGCTCAGGTGTTGTTATCAAACTGGCGTGATTTTCTTGCGCCATCTTGATCTAACATCCTACACCATGCCTAACCATGCCTCCTGACAGGAAGAAATTTCGGTCGAATAGGTTAACTTACAGAGCAAACTCAGGTCAACAACGGCTGAACTGTAGAGAAATCAGAATCTCGCTATGACGACGAATTTCTCTCTGAATGAGGTCCTAACGGAATCTCTTCTTTCCTTCACAATTGCGGCTAACTCCCGCTCCCGATCGAACCGAGTGAGGACCTGCTCCGATCCTCATTATTCCAATTAGATCATCGATTCTTTCGGTCTTCGATTTCACTGAGAGAGTCAAAGATGTGCTTGAACGGAAGTAAAATAAACTGACTGTTAGAGGAAGAGGGAGGGACTGGGCTGACTGTCTAATTGTCTGTATGCTTAATATTTGTATGTGCGTATTTATGTATGCCCTTGAGTATTGAAGCCGGCCCATCCGTCTCGTTTATACGAGGGTAATCCCGAGTAGTTTGCCCAGCATTTTTTAGATGCTGAAACTTTGTATACTTCGAAAATCGCAGCAATTCCGAGATTAAGGGCTTCCTTAATCTTCACTCAATCGCCCCTTCGGTAGATACATTTTCGTAGGGAGTGTGGCGGTTTTACAATGGCAATTTGCTACCCAGCACAGAACCAGATGATGCAACAATTGACATACCTGTTTGCAAGTACTAAAAAACTTCAGAAAGAACTGGTGGAACAGCTAGTTATGGCGGTTATGGTGGAATCTTTGAGTCACGACCGGAAACGGGTATTATTGTCAAGCGACTTACAGCTCGTTAGAACGACACTGAATGTTGGCAGACACAAAAACACCAGAAGAACTCTGAAGGATAATTTGGAACCAGAAAAGAGTCATCGCTGAAGGAACCATCAAAAAGCACAGAAGCCNTGTCAAGCGACCTACAGCTCGTTAGAACGACACTGAATGTTGGCAGGCACATGAAAACACCAGAAGAACTCTGAAGGATAATTTGGAACCAGAAAAGAGTCATCGCTGAAGGAAACATCAAAAAGCACAGAAGCCTGACTGTAAATCCATAAAAAGGTTGTGATCGATACTCGTTAGCGATTTCATTTTAAACCTCTTTCAAGGCTTGAGTAAGGACCGGCTTGGGAGAGGACCTTTTTATCAATGACGACTCTTTCTAAAGGGCATGGCACCGATCGGGAACTGTAAGATTACCGCAAGATCTACAAAAAAGAATTAAACAAAATGACGAAAACATAAGAAAGTGAAACGGCACCGCACCGATTTACTTAAAGCGATACTAGTACATCGATGAAATCGGGCATAACCGTTTGAAGAAAAGTACTGAACAATTACAGGCCGATTTCAGAAACTGGCCAGTCTCGCTCCAGAAGTTCCACTTAAAAGTTTTACTTTTGGAGCGATTGTCGAAAAACTCGACCTTGAATTAGTTACCATAAGTAACCATCAAATTTTTACAGCGCATTTATGGCAATAAATGAAGACCAGGGCTATTAATTGTTCTGGTGGGAAGTCGTCAAACAGAGACTTGTTTAATTGTCCAGTCTTTCGATCCTGCTCATTGAACGTCGATTGATAAGAATGAGAATCTCATTTTAGGATTTTTAGCGATCTCATCCGTTTAATCCTAGGCTGCTGAATATTAATTATTTAGTAAATAAATTAGAAAATAAATAGACTGCTGCAAAAAGTTTTTTAGTAATCGGGACCATTAATAACGGGAAGTAGGGGGTATATATGTAAGGGCCGCTGGACGGGGAACACCGGCAACGACTAGAACTAAGGAATCGCCACTTCGGTCTAATAAGAGGGATAAAGAGAGGGATACAGTAATTTCTCATATATCTAGGAAAAACACCGCAACAAAAAACTTCAGAAAGAGTTCAAAAACTGGGAACTTGTTACTTTCAGGAAGGACCAGGGAATTTTTCGGGAGAATGTTCCCCAAGGTAGCGGCCAGTGGCAATTTGTTACCACAAAACCAACGAATACGAAGTTTTTTTGGCCGGAAAGCTTTCCAAACTGAAAAGCGTGAGGCCAGTCGTTCGCTGTCGGACCAGAACATGGCCGGCAACGGTTTCCCTCAGTGCCTATAATGTCTTTCAAAGATCGGGAAAGGTGGGCGAAGGAAAATTACATCGATTCCATAACGAGTTCTATTCGAAGACCAGTATGGCGAGTCATTTTGGAGTAGCTTGGAATGAAGTACAGAGAACAGAGGGACCCAGTTTGGGATGGTTTTCTCCTCTTCAATCGCTCCACAATGGAGTGGAACACGTTCTTCGAGAAACCGTCCACGAATTAAGACGAGCCGATCGCGATCGAAGGGAAAGACTTGAAACGAGTGAGACTGTCGGCTTATTGAGCTCGTTCTATTACGGACCGTAGACATATTGGAGTAGACAACGACAAAGGTAACAGAGAGCGCCCGTGTAGCGACCTGTCAAACTTCCTGTGGGAGACTTTTTGCGGGGGAACAAGAAGACCAACACAACCACTGTATTGATGGGAATGATGTATAGCAATTGTGCTGTTTATGACACTTACGATCCACGCTTATGTATGCATGATATACTATAGAAATGAATACAAGCCAAACAGGTATATCATATACTCGCCGACATGGCTGCCACAATGGCGACGGTATGAATGTACAGAGAAAACCGAAAAGTTTTGCACGCAGCAGTGTTTCGAAGGCGAATTCACTGCGATGCATTTCTCTTACGCCATATCGGACTGTTCCTATCAAACAAGAATGAAATCACAAACAAGAATGAAATCATCAAACGAACTGCTGAATCGAGCCTCTTTGTGTGAAGGAGTTCTTTAAAAAACTGAGGTCAAGCTGTTTAGCAGATCCGGGACAATTTCGAACCGTTTCGGTAATTCATTCGTAGCGAGTACACCTAAATATGGTACCTATAGACAACCTTGGGTCAAGTTAGGCACAACTGTCAGACGAATTTCTCATCCCTTTCCAGATCGCATCTGATCGCAATTGGAAATTAAGCCATACGCATTAGCTAACCTGAATGCTTGTTTCCGTCCTTTCCCGGACAGCAGAACATCAAGGGATGGATGGTTTCACAGAAAATATTCCCAGCATAACTGTCTCCGAGAAGGCGGAGGTGGTGTAGTGACAAGTAGCGCACTTCACATGCGCAGTCACGAATCCCGGATCGGTATCCGCCTGGGCTAACTGAGTGCTCGATCCATCCGTGGTAGTTTAATTAGTAGCAGACTCGTTGGAGTTGGCTACCCACTGAAAGCCATTGCACGGCCGTATACCTACTCAATACGCCAGTACGATTCTGAATGGAAGTCGAATGCGGGGCGCATCTCAAAGGATCAATCAACGTCAAAAGATTTTGTCCTTTTTATCCTCTAACTGGTACAATATCAGTCAAATTGAATTTAAATGATATTCTAGTCCATGTGTCAGTGCATCAAACATTAACAATCCAAGCCCAATCAAGACAACCATGCCCTTCACACTCCGAATCTGTCCCCTCGAAAAACCTGTTTCCCCCAAGAAGACAAAGGCGCTGAAGTTGGCTGACCCATATGTCAATGGAGGATTGAAAGAATAATCAAAAAAGCAACAGTGTCGAGCATGAATTAATTAAGTGGCGCTTCCCGGAAGGTCTAGACCGACTACGTGCCAACGGACAACCTTGAAACTTTGTTCCCAAGATTTTTCTTGGTGAATAAGGCAACGGGTTTCTTCAGAGGGCTGCATGGGCGTTCGAACGCGATGACCTTTTTTACTTTCAACTTTTTTTTTTCTTTTTCTTTCTCATCTTGAGAAATATTCAACTAGATGAAAGAACATAGGCACCGAACTAGTTCCATTTCGCGCTGTCACCTTGGAATGAAACCTGGACCAAACTTAACCCAAGCCAATAGAAGCCTTCATGCCTAACGAGTCGGTTCACTGATAGTGAAATGGTTAGAGGAACTCGACTGTATACATACGGCCGGAGGTCCGTCAAATTTGGAAACAGTCCCGAACACTGCAACGGGAGGGTTACCAAACATTGCAACTGAACGAATGTCGATGCATGGCAGCATCCCGAATAGGACTGATCACAGCTCTATCCTTTCCAAAGAAGTTTCTACCAACAATCGGTATTTGATGACTAACAGACAACTGAGAGAAATGGAAGAGGAAGAATTTCATCATCCAACGATTTCAAAAAACTATTGACCGGTAATGAGTATTGAATGATTCCAGCAGTGAAATTTTCGAAGGGGTGGACACCCAAACAAACAAATCAGTAAAGGATGAAGCCTTTGGCGTTGATCAATTCCTGAAATGGGCCCCGGATGGACTCCCATTCAGAATCGTACTGAACTACTATAATGAACGCGTGTTTGGAACGCTTGGCTTGGGAGAATATCGATGTGAGATGAGAACCGAGGGCCATGAGTGTGATAGCGCACCTCTTGCCACTACACCACCTCGCTCTAGCAAATCAATAACAGCAAATAATACTAGAGCAGTCAGTATTCGGAAAAAAGCATTAATTACATCGGAAAAACCGAAGCAAGCTATTGGGGGATCGACAACTTAGGTAGATCCTGAAGCAAACGTGAATGCCTTGACAATACCGGCTAGACTGGTCTTACGCAGCCATTGACGACTATTACTATGAATGGACGAGTGTTTGAGGTTTTCTATCAGCCTTATTTCATGGTGTCTATCCACCACTTCTGATAGATGTAATAAATAGAATGGCGATGATGCCTAGTTCTTTTTGAGGAGTGCCAAAATACTACATCCTAGCAGTGATCTTTCATCTTCTCAAAGAGATCAGAACCAAAATTTCTCATGTCCCTTTCGTCCAGCATTAGTAACCCTTGAAGTATTCAGAGTATTAGTTCTTGAGGGGTTATATCTACAAA